GGGTGTGTGGGGTGTGTGGGGTGTGTGGGGTGTGTGGGGTGTGTGGGGTGTGTGGGGTGTGAGGTGTGGGGTGTGTGGGGTGTGTGGCAGCCCATCCTCGGGCACTGAGTGAGGAACTGTGCCTGTGGCTGCTCTGCCCCGGGGCAAGCGGAGCCTGAATGGAAACGATGCCAATTCCCAGGGCTCAGGGCACCCAGGGGAGAAGCAGGTGCCCAGGCAGAGGGGCTGGGAAACGTGGGCTGTGCTTGGGGCAGCAGAGACACCTCAGTGAGTGCTGGCACGGGGATGGGGAGCGGAGGATGGAAATGTGGATCTCAGTCTCACAGGGACACTCCAGGGTCGGACACTCCTGTGATCGACTGCCCAAGAGTTGTGGAATCACAGAATATCTGAGCTGGCTGGGACCCACAGGGACCACTGAGCCCTGCTCCTGGCCCAGGCAGGGCACCCAACCACCCCACCCTGCACATCCCTGCCAGGACCTGAGCGATGCCATGTGGAACAAACTCCAGCCACAGATGGGGATCAAAACAAAGGAGTTACTGCTCCGGGGAGGAGATTCCCAGCTGCGAGCTCCAAGGCCCAGAGCTGGCACTGTTTGCTGTTCTGGTGACCTGGTAAAGGGCAGGACATAATAACCTGCAGATAACAGAGGATTATGTAGGTCAATCAGGAAAGAGGACAAGGCAGGCAAAAAAAAACCAACAAAAAAAAAACCCCAACCAAACAACAACCTCAAACTAGAAAAAATAGGTAACTTAGCAACATGAAATTCAATCCATGAAAGTACAAGATAATCTACATTAAAAATTACAATTTGACACATCCTGCACACAGATATTTAGGAGGAAAGATCAAGTCATCACTGAGGACATCTGTTGTGCACACAGCAATGTAAATGAGGTATTACAGTGGCAGGAGATGTGAAATCAGAGGAAAAGCACTATGATGCTGCAGAAGGCTAAATGGTAGGCACTCGTTAATATACTCAAATTCTCCTAAATGAAATATAATAGGTGTGACCAGGTAATAAAAGAGTCAGGAGCTTTGATTTTTTTGGAAGGCGCATTGAACGAGAAGTTATTAAATGATTGATTCTGTGCAAGTGAAAAAGATGTTTCAGTCACTTTTCTGTACTAATGCAAGAACAAGAAACCGCCCTGTGGGCACTGGCAGGAAATGAAAGGATTTTTCCGGTGGAAAGATGAATCTTTGACTTGGGATCACACAGCACAAACCCTTGCACCAGTTGCCCATCGTTCTGCTGCTCCTGGGGTCAAACCACCACCAGCCAGGTTGAACAGGAGCTGAGTCCCTGGTGCTGGAGGCACCCAGAGCAGCCAGCTCAGGTCAACTCCTCCAGCCCAGCTCGGCCCAGCCCAGTCCAGTCCAGTCCAGCCCAGCTCGGCCCAGCCCAGCCCAGTCCAGTCCAGTCCAGTCCAGCCCAGCTCGGCCCAGTCCAGTCCAGTCCAGCCCAGCCCAGCTCAACCCAGCTCAGCCCAGTCCAGCCCAGTCCAGCCCAGCTCAGCCCAGCCCAGCCCAGCTCAGCCCCGCCCCG